CACTTTTTCCAAGGAAAAGCTCCGGGAGTGTTGGAGGAGGGAATCGGCTCCGGCTGGAATTTGGGAGCGGGAGAAGTTGGAGCCGATTGCGGAGGGTTGGACGGAGCCGGTCCCGCTGCCGGGAATGCCGCGGGTGCTTGCTGCCATCTTCAGGCTGCAAAAMCTGGGGCTGGAAAAATCCCCCTCATCCCGTCCGCGGCATTCCCGGGAATTCGGGACCCCCCAAAAAACTCCGGAGAACTCCGGCCGGGCCGTTATTCCGTGCTTTATTTGGATAATCCGCTCTGGGGTGATTTTAGGGGATGGAAAAATCCAATTTTTGCCCCAAATCCGGGAATAACGGGGCATGGAGGGTGTCAGGCCATGGGATCATTCCAGGGAGCTGCTCCCAATTTTCCTCATCCTTCGGGGTTGGGAAAGGGATTGGGGGGAAGATCAGGACAAAAATCCCGGATTTTCCCCTTTTTTTCCCGGAATATCGGGATTCCTGGAGGGAATTTGTGGTTTCTGGGTCCTGGAGCGGTTCCACTTCGGGCCGGGCAGGGGATGGAACAGGGGTTGGGATATCCCAAAATCCATGAATTATCCCCTGCAACATTCCCGCTCCATGATCCCCAAACCCCACCGGGGACCATCCCCACGGAATTCCCGGGAAAAGTAACAGGAAGGGGAAGGAGCGGGATTTGGGGAAACAGAGGCCGGGAAGGCCTGGAATTTTTTCCATGTGGGGCCACCCCGGGAACCCTGACAGAGGCCCCCCATCATTCCCGGCCTCCTCCGATTTCCATGGAAACTGCGGATACAAATTCCATGGCAACCCCATGGCAACGGCACGAGCGATGCCGCCCCGTTCCCACATCCCGGAGGCGGGAGAGGCCCGGGAATGCCGAGAGCTCCTATCCTTGRATTCCATGGAATCGGAGCATTCCGGCATTCCCAGGAATCCCGGAGATCGGGATGGGGGAGATGGGATTGTCCAGGAGCCTGAGGGGGCTGGAAAAACTCATCCCGGGGATGGAGAGCAGGATCCCAAATCCATCCCGGAACATTCCCTGGGAATTCCAGCCCGGTCGGGAATTCCTTCCCCAGATCCCAATAAATCCCCCCTTTCCCAGGGAATTCCCTCCATTCCTGGCTCTCCCAGCCCCAGATCGGATCCATCCCCACCCCGACTCCTCCCTGCCAAGGAATTTCGGGATCCAGGCCCTTCCCTGGCAATCTCGGCACTCCAGGAAGGGTCTCCCTTCCCTTTTCCATCCCCGACTTCCATCCC